TCATGGATGCAGGAAGTTTCACTTCAGGATGTCAGAAAAGAAATCAGTTTTTGTCGGAAAGTAAAGCTCCCTGTCATTGGTGTTGTGGAGAATATGAGTGGATTTGTTTGTCCCAACTGCAAGGTAAATAATACTAATGTCTGTCACTGCCCATATAAAGCACTTGTGCCAGGATGCGTCATCTCGGAGGACAGTTTTCCTTGAATTGTTATTAAAATTATGCTGAATAGAAAGTGGCTGTCAGTGCTATATTGTACAGGTGTCATACGGTAGCATTGACAGATGTCTTTGATAAGGAATACTTGCAAGATTTGAGCCAGTGACTTCAACGACCAACAAATGTAAACAGAGCCATCGTACTTGCATCCCTGATAACTGAGTGTGAGATCACCAGTCAAATCTTTCCTATACATTTTGTATTACTTTTGCGTAATAATAGCTTGGCAGTCACTCACAAAATACTTAAAAAATAATGAACGACCCACCAACCCATAATGGACGAAAGCTCACATATTATTGTATTGAACTTGTATACATTGCGAGTGAATGAGTGACTGATGTGTGGTGTGGAGTAGCATTGCAGTGATCGCCCAAGCGAACGGCACACCATGACTGGTACGCCGTATCGGTGTCCACCGCGGCCTTGCACTACGCTACGCTAGATCGTCACCGTGGTCCAGCTGGATCGACTGAGCATAGAGGTGCATACCCGAGGTACATGCACGTAGTTGCATCGTTACCCCATCCCACTAGTGTTTTCGAACATCAAGGTAGATATTAATTATTGACAACTGTCCTTTCTGTGTAATAGTTATTTTAAATTCCACGACAGGGCTCGGAATTGACGAATACTTTGAAGCGGGCGAACAAACATGACCGAAAAGCTAGTGGGTGTTAGCCATCCTAGAAGGAGAACCAACAGTGATTTTAATCTCACTGTATAAATAAACAGACACACACATGGGAACACGGATACTTTCATTTATTTATGCAAACTGTGCCCGGACTGTTACATTTACCGGGAGTCGAGGCTGAGGAAATGTCATGTCGATCTTTCGTCGATCTCGTTTCGCAAATTTTGTAGTACTACTCACTACAAAAACAGAACAAATTCATCTCTCTGTACTCGTAGACATAGTACCCCCATTTCGTTTATCGCATTTGCTTGGATAAATAATCCTTGGTTAACCTCACTTCATCAACATGATTGGGCGAACTAATCAGGAGGCCACAAGGACAGCGGCATCAGTCGCGGAATCTAGAAGCGCGCTTACTAGATGGAACGCTTCGACCGAACGCGCGTAAGCGTACAGAGCAGACGACAATTCCCTCCCAATATTGTCTGATTTTGATATTGGAATCGGCTGTTAATGGTTATGGACCGTTTAATTCGATGTTATTTTTTCCCATTATATACTTGTTATCTAACAATTTCTCTTCTTTTTCAATAGTTTCTTCTTTATTCGTTTTCGAAAATAACATTGTATTCATATCCATGGGACAGGGCCTTGATGCTCAATAATGTAATACATTATCGCAAATAATCTGCTGCAATGACATCATAAAATCCACTGGTATTGATAATGCTATAATATAATATCCAATACTGTAATATGTATCATACGAACCAGAACTACTAAGTGAGCAAATGCCATTGACTGGCATTAATGTTGTTATGGAAACATTAATAAAAACATGGCTTCAGAAACTTGTCTCAGAATTTTCTGGCATACCCACATGTACCTGACCTGGACCATTGCTTGTTTTTGTCAATGCTATATATTCTTATTGCTATCTCAATTCCAGCTGTTCTGTACATATATATATATATTATTCAATGACCATGTTTTTCGATGCCGATTAATTCATTTCTAATTTGGACCAAGTTGCATCTAATACTTAGTATGCTTCCTCTGTTTCGGGAAAAAGCCTTAGATTCATAGAAATGGGAGGAGATATTTAAGGTTGAGAACTTCTATTGTCCTTATAAATTGTTTAGAACATGTGGAATCCTATGTGCAACTTTATCTGGATGTAGCACTATCAATGTCTTGTGCTAGTCTTGTCTTGTATTAATACTAAGTACTGATGACATCATATCTTTATTTGCATTAGACTGAATCTCAAGTCTTTCCACCAACAACAGGTGGTGCAGAGAAGATGTCAATTGACATGGATGTACCATTTCTAGGAAAATTACCCTTAGATCCACGGATAGGTCAGTAATATCATTTAATGTTTGTCAGTACAATCTACAATATATGCTATTTCAAGTATTGTTTTGTTGCAATGTAATTTCTCTAATGAATTGATAAACTGTATTTAAGAGCATAGTGTGACTATTAATTTGGGTTACATTCATGTGTTCACCTTTCATTTCTTGACTTTGATACAACAATAAGATATAGGTCAACTGTTTTTTTGATCCTTATGTTTTGGCTAATTAGTAGTCATGTTGGTGAACAATCAAATATCTTTTCTGAGATATTCCTATAGTGATTGTATTCAAAAAATTCCACTAGGATTCATAGTGAATGAAAACTTTCCTTGCATCAAAAATGTCCTAAGTATGCTGGCTATATTGGCTGTACATGTTTTACTCATTCTTTTCTTTTCTGTGTTACTTAGGTAAATCGTGTGATGAAGGTAAATCGTTTTTATCAGAGGTTCCTGATTCACCTGCAACACAAGCTTACAAACAAATAATTGAAAGTGAGTTATATTATTAACAGCTCATTTCTTAATTGTCAACAAATGTCATATGTTATGTACCACACAAGAGTCGATCAAGCCTCAAACATATTTATGAAAATATTTCAGCTATGGTTTCATTCATCATAGTACAACTTTTCTTTACTTTCTTCTCAGAAATACAAGACTTCTGTACAGGCAGTCAACTTATGGAAACCTGACATGGACTACTTTGTTTAATAAACTATTCATCTCCATTTTAACTTGGCACATGTAAAATATAGAGGAAGCCAACAAGTTTGAGGAGAAATCACATTTACATATTTCAACACTTGTATAAGGTGAAATAATAAAAACGTAAAGGGAAGCAGAGGTCTGCACATGAAATTTGACATCTACGAGTGAATTCTGTCAATAAAAACTTGTATGGGCTGTGAAGTAGACGACAAACATCTGCTTTGCCTGGTGTCATTTTTCCTCTAAAGGACCAGTCAATGATGTCATCAGTGAACACTGATAAGTGAACCCATTCATTCTAGTACATCAATCCCATAGAAATGCTACTATGAAATACCTTGTTAAGTGACAATTTAAAATGTGTATGAATGCCATAATTCATGTTAAGCTTCTTGAAATCCCAAATATAAAATCACTTTGTTGGTTGAGAGAAATCGGCAGAACTAACTTGAAAGTGAAGATTGTTTACTAACGCTTAATATACCAAATCCAGATCTCGTAAAGAGGATGGGAGGTTTAATGGGGTTACATCGAAGAACAACTAAATTATAACTACTTGCTGAAATTTATATGATCAAAGGTTTCTTTATGAAAACTGTAGGATATAGTCATAGATGGCAACTTTAGTTTCAAATAGCCTTGGCAAAGTGTTCATTGTGCAATGAATTGTTTGTATGCAAGAAATTTTCCACTGTTGATTTACTATAAATATATAATGTTATTTACTATGTTACTATATGTCCCCTACTGCAATATAGATCCTAGCAAGATTCAAAAGCCCACTGTTCAGTCAAAACAGTGGTAGTTTTTGCTTGATTTTGATGCGACAGATTTTATCTACCTAGAATGTGATCTTACTAAGTCATTCAGTCGATATACCAGCTTTAAATTCACAATTGAAAAACCAGAAATTATGAATCCTCGTAGGCACTAGGATACTCATGTGCAGCTTCTTTGACTTTATTCGACAGTTGAAAATAAAAATACTGTATTTGCTCTTAGAATCGCACCGTTCTCCAAGCTGAAAAAGTGTTTTATTTTGACTCCATCACAAGCACAATTACATGCATGTAAAACTATTATTGTTGGCCTATTGCCTGAATCATTTACATCAACAATTTCAACTATTTATAAAAAGGCATTTAAATACCAAAAGAAATTGCATTAAAATTAATTTTAGTATAGACATACCCAAAACTTAAGTTGATTTGCTTCTAATGACAAATATGGTAGCTACTGTAAAGATTGCATAAAGCACACAAGTATTATCAGTACATATAGGAATGATAGGTAGGTATAATTCCCATTGGATAGAAACAAGCATTTCACTTTCTCAGCTTCACCTTATAATTAATATTATATTAAATATACACAAATTGTTTAAACGGATGAAAATATGGAATAAAGAATAGACAATGATATAAAACCTGCAATGTACCACGATTCTAAAAAAAAGCACAAATATTTTGAAAATATTGTTTTTTGATGTATGAGAGTAAATAATTTTAATAAAGTCTCAGTTATTCGTAAACTACAGCATTTTGCACCAGCTGTCAATCCTTATATTGTTGACATCTGTGACTAGATGAATTGCCATGCGGTCTAAGTGAATGTCAACAAGCTCAGATCACTACTTTCGGAGGCTGTCTGTATTATTTAAGTATAAATTTAATAAATATTATAGTTCACATCCTCCACTGTGTATCTCTATTTCTGTTCAGCTGGTGTCATGGCAGTTGTGGCCTGAAATAAAACAAATATTTACTAAATAAACCCAAAATTTGATAAAAAAGTGTGCAAAAAAACAAATAATTACCATAGTAGCCATTGTCACATGTATTTTTGATTTCCCTAGTTGCTATGCTACTGACCAATAAGAAACAAGTGTCTTTCACGAGTAGATGTTCATGGGTATTGCGGGCATGGCTTTGACGTACTTTATACTAATATATGTATGGATATGATCATACCAAAATATCATGATTTCTGTTATTTGTCCTCTTTCATCGGTGTGCTTGAATAAATAATAGTGCTTTTCTTTCAAAGACAGTTGGGCCTGAATGACCTCAGTAACCAACATGTTATATAATAAGGCTGATGTCATAAAAACCATGTGTAAAATCTTGATGCCTGCATGTCTTGTAGCCTAGCAACTAGAGATCCTAAATTTTGAGTCTTTCACATCAAAACATTTTCAAAATTCTATTTTTTTTAATAATGGGTTTGCGAATTTTAGACCAAATTACTATAATATAGGCCTTTACTCAGTTTTGTGCTATTCTGTCATATTGACAAATCAATTTGTAATACTGTAAAATACTTTATTTTAGCTGAAATTAATTTTCGCTGAAAAAAAGAATATTCGCTAGTTTTATTTTCACTGAATCATTCCTTCAGCGAAAAAATTAATTTCAAGCGAAAATATAGTATTTTACAGTACAAGGTATATGCATTCAGCACACACAAAAAAATAGAATTAGTTTTTTGTTGATGCCCATTATTGTATTCATAGTTTCCTTATTTGAAATTAACTGCATCAGCAACATTAAAAGAACTCTAGATTCAGCAACTGTTTCTCTGTTTACATCTGAAGTGGCACCAATACACGACACAATAGAATTAGAATCCAATCACTGAACGTTTTTTCACCGTTATTTGTTGCTAATGTGCAGTAATTGTAGTGTTCAATCCAGGGTGTAAAGAAGATGCAAAGTATAAATTTTCTAGAGACGAATTTTTATAATCAGTTTTCATGAATGCCATAAAATTAGGCAGTTTAATCTTCTTGAGCTTGGGGTTCCAGTAGACTTAACATACAACAGACTTTTGTCATTTCTCATTCGTAACAACTTGAGAATGCATGAGGCAGTATGGCAATTCCATTGACTGACGCATGGTTGACAGATTACATACTGCTTGAGTACATACTTTGCGGTATTCTCATGATGACATTATTATTATTATTATAGATCTTTTTTCTGCTTGTAGTAATAAATATTGAGTGAAACGCATTTTCAGCTTACCGTCCTTAATAGTTGGGCTCCTAGAAAACTTGTTGCCACTGTTGTGAGTTTCTTCTTTGCTCCCACTTTACATCTGATATAGCCATATAAATTAGATCCTGTCAACCCTAATGCAATAATTACAACCATCTAAAACAAAGAAAACACAAATTATAATTTTGCATTTGAGTTGCTCATGTCGGCAGATTTGAACTTTGCCGAAGAAAACATACACACATGCTACCATAATAAAGTTATTTTTAATGGTAAAAAGACATAACTAGAATACAGATTTAACAAAACTTAAACATCCTGTTCTTGTGCTGCTCTACAAATTACACTGCAACACATACTGTGAACCACTTTTATATCACAAAAGACAAATTTTCACAAAGTTGTTGACTTTCGTGAAATCTTGTTTTGAGGATTTCTCAGTAAAAAATATGTGGTAGACTGTATTCAATGTTTTTTTATTGAGGACTATGTTTGCCATAGTGTGGTGATGTCGATGAAAATGACAGTCCCCACTGGTACGGTACTTTCAAAGTGATCCCTTATAAGCTAAACATCAGACTTACAAAAAGATAGGGTGGATTTTGTCTGAAAAAAATAATTCTATGCAATTCCAAAAGAAACCAATGACCTGTTTAAATGTGTCAATTGTTTTAGTGTGGTTAGTATGTTAATTGAGGTGTTATAGTTGTTTGTGGCATGATACAAGGCATTCATGTCTTTAATGTCTATTATGACAGACATATGATACAAACTGGAATCAATTTACATAGCTTTCATTATGCATTTCTAGCACTAAAATGACTGCCGTTTGGTCATCCTATGTAAGCACATGTAAATGTGTGACATGATGTATGTGTGAAGTTTGAACATGATGAATTTAGTCATGTCGGGGATATGGCTTGAAAATAAAATGCCCAATGTGAAAAACAAAATTACATTTCAAGGTTCCATAATACTCAATGTCCAAAATGTTTGAATGAAATCCATACTGTCAATGGCCACCATTCAGCCATCTTGAATCAGAAATAAAAGTACAACTTTAACTAGTCACGAATCAGTGAAATCACGAAAAGCACTGAAAGATGATGTGTTCATTTAAAATAACGTATTCTACAGTAAATGTGAGTGTTATACTTACAAACCACTTGAAACTGAGACTGAATAATGATGCAAACAAGAAAGCTACCCAGATAACCGGACATACAATCAATCCAAACCAAAATATCCTGGATTCTGTTATAGTTTCTCTTGTCTTACTCTATAATGAAAAGAAACATCATATGAATATCATTATCTATACAAAGAAGAGTCTTTTATGGATGCAGACATCATGTGACAACAATGCAATGTAATCTTAAGCAAGTAACCTAGTGTTATCATATTGTGAATGCCAAATTCCAGCAGTATTAATCTCCAAGTACCCCGTATATGCATGCTATCTGAGACGCAATATGTGTACCATAATACCAAACTTATTTACCTGGTACATTTTTGTTAAAACCGTGGCTCCGGGTCTATAGGGACAGATGGAGACCAGGTTACAGTATACAAATTGCACTCCATGGTAAATTATCTGGTCAAAATGCTTTAACCATACAAAAAATTTAATATTTGTAGAATACAATTTCAGTGTTAGTTTAATAGTTAGGTAATTTTTGCCCAGAAAGGCATGTTTTAAACAGCCATGTTAGTCTTCAGAATGACAGTAAATCATAGGTTTATTCAAATAACATTGTAAACAGAATGTGTGCCATTTAAATAACATTTCCCATAATGTATTGGTTTAATGCGAGGAAATTGCAGAGCCATGCTTCAACAGTAATTGGTTCTAACACATAGTTTTTTCAGCATCAGATATTTTCACTAATGGCCACTGATCATTAAATACAGCAACCACGCAGTTGCACTTTTTTCTTAGAAAAGCACTATTTGGAAAAATTAGCCACCAAGATTAGAATATACAGCAATTATAGAACTGGTAGAACGAGTTGACACCAACAAAGCCGGTTTTCTCATTTTGTATAGAACACAACCCAGGAAGTGAAATTTCCCAGTAATGATGATAGAGCACTAAACTTTGACAACTACATAAAGAATAGACCATTATTATTTCCCTGATAATGAACACCAGAAATGGTCACCAAAATGTTAAAACCAGCAAAGCACATGAAACGTCAAGTTTTTGGTGGTTTTTATGTTTATAGCATTCACTATTTGGAGCAAAATTTTATTTGACTGACAATTGATGTATTATTAGACTGTAAAGCTGTTGTGCAAGCTGTCACCACCAATAGATCTACACCACACAATAAAACTATTAAAGCACACAAACACCAGCGTTGTCTTCCCTAGAAGTTGGAAATCAGTACTCACCACCCAAATGACGAATGGCAATTTTGAAACAAGTAAAATTATTTTAATCAGGACAAGTTCACACACATGTATACATTGTATACATTGATATAGTTTATTGCATTGGTGTAGATTAGAAGTGCATTGAGATCATAACCATATGACTACTATTTTTTTATTTTCCAGGATTTCAATAATTCAGACTATACAGTTCTGTGAGAAGAAATCAAGGTTACAGTTGGAAGAAGGTTAGGAATCTATGTAATTTTTTGCAAGGGTTTTGGTTAAGTTTTGGCATGGTATCCACGTGTTTTACATGATAATACAAATGATGTAATGGTTACCCTTACTTTCAGAAAATTGCAAACTACTGGGTTTTAAGTTCACAAACTTTGCAGGGAAGCAATGAGTTCTATTGTTATTTTACATGGATTTGATTTCGTAAATTACTTACCAGGGAAAAAAAAAAAAAAGTGAATAAATAATACATTTACAGAACATTTCATATACTAGTATCCTCCAATATCTCTGATGTACACTTTCAAATAATTTGCTAGAAACTGTATTGAGCACCTGAAAAGAAGCTTCATCTGAGAAAAGTCTTTAATAATATTGTACCAACCTTTCTAGATTCAAAGACCCAATGACTTTTACCATCTTCGTCAACATGATTCCACCATCTCAAGCCAACCATCAATCTACCTGTAATGTTTTTCACTGTCCAGAAATCCATTGATAGTAACACAATTATGATGACAAAAGAGGCAATAAAACTATTACTGAACCATCCACAGAATAAATAGGCTACTATGGAGAGCACTCTAAAAAGTAAATGGAATAACGTGGCCAGTGGATGCCTGAAAAAAACGACACAAAATGATATTAGAGATGCAAGTTTCTCTGCAGAACTTGAAATTTAGAGTTGATACGCTATTCATTTTCAAAAGAAAATTATAAAATTGCCTTAGCATTTAAAAATAATTGATGCCTCCATGAAGTTCATGCCCTGTATGTATATATTTATCACACTCAAAATCCGGAAGTGGAAATCGTCTTTCCTGCATAAATATTCATCTTACAACGAACGATATGTATTATAAAACTGCATTTCACCGTCAATTGCTAATCATTTCAAAATGTAAACAATAATAAATATTATTGATATTGATTTCCATGTTTTGTTTATTTATTCACCTGTTAGACTAAAAGAAACATCATAGTTTTTTTTTCATACTGGTAAAATCATGGTTAAGTTGACAAAAAAGAAAGTGGTACAATGTGAATCACCAAATCCAACACAGTACACGCCACAGACAGCAGCTGTGCGTAAAATTGCCAACGTGTAAATCGTAAAATAATCAAACAATTATTAATACCTGATTCTGCGCCTCAATTTAGCTGCGTCTTCTTCACTGGCGAAGTCCAACGCCACATCCTCCGTGTCGTCAACGTGTGACTGAAAGAACATGTCCAGAATAAAACTCAGTTGCTACAAGGAAAGTGCTAAGAATCAGTTCTAAATATAGTGAAACTGGAGGTGCTTACCATCATCGTGATCCCGTGAAACCTTTAACGTATTAATTATTTATAATATGGCCGCCTTAAGGTTCCTTGTTATAATTATAATTCTGATATATAATGCGTGGCTTGATGACGAGATTAGTAGTAAATTTGTATACTAAATAAACATAAGATACGTTTCGAAGTCTCGAAATCTCCTGCATTCACTACAACAGTATTAGTTTACTCTTTTATCATTGGTCTAGGAGGTTCTCAAATATCCTCTCTCACAGAAACCTAAGAGGGCGCTATAAAAACAATTTCTTATAAATTGAGCGGGACTCAAAGATTCAAATAGTTAAAATGATCAATCATCTTATCTAAACATTCACGCTTTCGAAACGGATTTGTGAGTATTGATAAATTGGTGATTATACATGTACTGTGATTTGAAGATTTAGTTTGTACTTACTATAAATACTAGTTTCGTACTTTTGCCAGCCACGGTATGTTCTGGCAAAACTTGTGTCGTGTGTTCGGGATCGTGATGTCAGCTGGACTGATCTCAGAGATGATTTACCAGGTATATAAAAGCACAACTAAGCAGAAGAAAGAAAGTCGTCTAGATCTTTTTCACCGAGTTTTGTTTTTCCCAGATAAAGTAGTGGCTTGCAAAGCACATTTCCGTGGAAGAGATGGTTGCAAAAACGTGAACTGTCATTTTTCGCACAGTGACACAAGTCTTAGTGAGCTGTTGAAATACATAACAAATGCAAAGAGAAGTCTCGATGTCTGCGTCTTCAGTATCTGCTGTCATGAGTTGGCTGATGTGTTGGTCGAGTCTCATGAACGCGGAGTGATCGTCAGAGTGGTTACTGACGGTGAACAGACTGGAGCTACTGGATCTCAGATTGGGAAATTCAGAAGTAAAGGTGTGTGATGAATCATGGGTGATTTCAATCTGACTTTTTGGTGATCTAGCTGCAAATATGGTCGTACAATTATTTTATTGCTATACAGTGCACAGAAACCTGTACCTGAGATTATAAATGCATTTTGTATAAATATTTGTAAATTTGCCTGTACTGTGTGCATATGCCTTCAATTATTTTTGAATGTACTGGCTGCAATCACCCACTTATTCAAATTAAAGTCTTTGCTGATTGATGACACTGAACTATCTCATTACAGTGAGTACAAAATATTTACATACACCTAACTCCCACACCTAGTTGTAAAATGGGATCTTAATAATGAAATCCTCATTCCCCATCATCCAATCCTTTTCTAGATTTCAAATGGATCAAACCTTATATTGTTGACATTAACTGTTTTCTTAAATGATGCTGCAGTCTCTCACAATATTCACTATATTATCTGCATAACATAATTTCTCTCTGTGTGTTTCTCTTCAGGTATTCAAGTTCGTCACGACAACTCTTCCTTCTTGATGCATCATAAGTATGTTATCATTGATGGAGAAATTCTCATAAATGGATCATTTAACTGGACAAGAAGTGCTGTCACTGGTAACCATGAGAATGTTGTCATAACTAATAATACAGAACTGCTGAAACCATTCGAGGAGGAATTTGAGAATCTCTGGGAGCTGTATGAACCGTCTAAGCATCTAAAATAGTCAGATCAAAACTAATGTTCATACAGCATGATAATAATACAACACATCATATAGGGTCCTTTTTTGCTTTGAAGAATTGGTCCAGCATGCAATTAATTAGAAGAGTCATGTGACCTCATTCTATTTTGACCATAAAATCAGTTTACAAATCTAGAAACTATTTCTTGAAACACACTATTTTATTTATTCATTCAGATTTATGCAAACATCACATACAATATAAGGTCATTTGGCAAAAAAAGTTTGAAATTTGGTCCTAGAATTCCAAATAACCATGGCATCATCTCAAAGTGACTGACAATACTTATGTTGATGTCATTTTTGAACCGTCAATCAAATTTACATTAAATAATCGACACCAAATAATAGTGACTACCTCCATTCCTACTTTAAAATCTGTATTAGAAGCTATATTCCTAATGAAAACCACACTCATTCTTTTTGAACATTTGAGAACCATTACTCATATGTGTAATTCCTCTAATAGAAGCCACATCCCCTCTGTTGCATCATAATAATAGAAGCTGCGGCTTTGAATAAAGATTTTATATTTGTCCTTATTGGTGGGAATTTTTGTGATGGTCTAGGCTAAGCATATTGATACGAGTTTAGTAAAATCATAATTCACATCATGAGCAATAGATAAGAGAATTAAAATGATCACTAATTTTTTGTATTGAGAGAAAACCATACAGCTAACAAGAAATTTATTTTTGATGCATCATATATTTGATATCTTTACATGTATATTGAAATATTTTTTTTTTATAAAATATTTTGAAATTTCAAGTACAATGTACCATTGCACATTCCATGAATAAAACTCATTAAACTCAAAAGGGAACATGTACATTATAAGCTATTTACCGGTATCTATGTTAACAGGTTCTATGTTCTATGTTAACAGAGTTGTCGTGACGAACTTGAATACCTGGAGAGAAACACACAGAGAGAAATTATGTTATGCGGATAATATGTAGTCCTGAATGAGGACTTTTAGAATCTGCACATCTGACATAATTTATGGGACATGACTAGGACAGCTCAATGTTAATACAATAACAAGTCACAATGGTACACTTTTTTTTTTTTAACGCAAGATTAGCAATCAGAAAGTAATGAACAAATTGTCATTGGCAGTAAGTTTATTTCAACTAATACAGCTCATTTGACAAACATAAAAAAACACACACACAAATTATGTAGACAGGTTTAAGTACTTTCATCAATTCAGCATTATTACTTACAATATATCAACCAATTTCCAAGTTACATTTTAAAATAAAGTTCTGATAATAGTAATAAATGGTTATTATTAGATTCCATATGCATTGCTTATCACGAGGTTTGAAACTGTTTTTTATGGTCCAGGACGGCTAGTTGTGCCTTAATGACTAATAGTTGTTCACTCCAAGATCACAACTAGTTTAAAAAATGACTGGTAATTAATTGTTCATTTCAAGACCATAATTATATCTTATCAATTCTACAAAAATAAGTATTTGAAGCCTCATTTTTTTTTAAAAGTAATGCGCATTAAAAACATAATTCTGAACATATTCTGATGGTGCAACCCATTTGTGTGGTGCAACCAAAACCGGAACCATATTTGTGGTGCAACCAAAACAGGAACCCATTTGTGTGGTGCAACCAAAACAAGAACCATTTTGTGTGGTGCAACCAAAACAGGAACCATTTTGTGTGGTGCAACCAAAACAGGAACCCATTTGTGTGGTGCAACCAAAACAGGAACCCATTTCTGTGGTGCAACCAAAATAGGAACCCATTTCTGTGGTGCAACCAAAACAGGAACCCATTTGTGCGGTGCAACCAAAACAGGAACCCATTTGTGCGGTGCAACCAAAACAGGAACCCATTTGTATGGTGCAACCAAAACAGGAACCCATTTGTGTGGTGCAACCAAAACAGGAACCCATTTATGTGGTGCAACCAAAACACTAACAGGAACCCATTTGTGTGGTGCAACCAAAACATTAACAGGAACCCATTTGTGTGGTGCAACCAAAACAGGAACCCATTTGTATGGTGCAACCAAAACAAGAACCATTTTGTGTGGTGCAACCAAAACAGGAACCCATTTGCAACCAAAACAAGAGCCCATTTTGAGTGGTGCAACCAAAACAAGAACCCAGTTTGAGTGGTGCAACCAAAACAAGAACCCATTTTGGGTGGTGCAACCAAAACAAGAACCCATTTTGTGTGGTGCAACCAAACAAGAACCCATTTTGGGTGGCACAACCAAGACAAGAACCCATTTGTGTGGTGCAGCCAAGACATGTACCAGTTTAGGTTAAGAAACCAAAGTAGGAACACATTTGGCTGGTGTGCAGCCAAAACTTGATTGAAATTGGCGACAGATATTTCTGAGTTTTTATGTGATAAAGACACATTACCTTAGCCTAAAGATGTGTATGAACCACATAGAAAAGCATCCTTAACTCATTCCATATGGACATCGCATAGAAAAGCACCCTTAACTCATTCCATATGAACATCACACCAATATTGCACATTTAAAACTTGTAAAAAAAATATACAAATGTCAAATTTAAAAGCTCCCACTTTCATACAATTGACATATCAATTAAAAATAATAGTCATAATTACCTTGAACAAGAAATTTGTTTCAATTACAAAATTTGAACACCAATACAAAAACATGATTTAACAAAGTGATCAAATTTAGTAAACACAATTCATAACATTGATTAAAAAGTCTTTGTATATAATGTCAACATTCACCTAGGGGATCCACCTGCTATTACCATTAACCTAGGGGATCCACCTTCTATTATTGTACATGCTATTACCATTCACTTAAAGGGGCACTTGCAGTTAAGCCTAATCTTACAAAAAATTTTACTTTCTGGATTAAAATTACAATGGATAACAAAAGATAGATTAACTTTGTAAACAACATAAACAATAGTGTCCCATGATTCTTTGGTGCAATCCCTGGGCTTGGAAGTTTCCCGTTTAAGGGAGTCACCTGCTATTATTGTACATGCTATTACCATTCACCTAAGGGAACCACTTGCTATTATCATTTACCTAAGGGGCCCACCTACTAATACTGTACATATTTTAGAAGACAGCGGAGAATTGGAGATTTGCTTAGGAATGGCAGCAAATTGAGGGAACCATCTATTACTGTACATATATTCACCATCTAGTTTTATTTTACATCAATAAGATCGCATTCATCTCAAGCATTTATTGTGGCAGTGAACACCAGAATAGAATGATAGAACTAAAAAGACATTGATGCTCAACATTCCCAATAATGCATGCTGAAAAAAAGTGTTAATTTAATGTGATAGTGCACATAAGAATATATTAATACTAGCAAGCAGCTACATAACCTGAACAGCATTACGGATACACAAATATTTAAGAAAAACAACAAAATTCAGCAACACATGCTTAAAAAATTATTTAAAAAAAAACAGCCTGGCTTCATCTCAGCCTCAGAATGAAATCACAATTTATCAGCCTCATGAGGGCGGTATCAGCAGAAAGAAAAAACAACATCAGCCTCTTGAAAGGGATATCAGCAGAAAGTAAGACGAGATGAAGATGTATGAATACATAGAAACAGCAGTGTTACTTCAAAACAAACTAGGTGCATATTGGAGCAACTATATAAAAGTGTGTGAATTACTGAGGGGTTACCAGGGTTACGTATGCAACATACGTATTTCACAATACCTTAAAATGAAGAAACATATTTGAACACTGTTGTAGCAACAATTCTCATTACTTATGGACAGTCTTCTGTTGAGAAATTAATTGCAGGTGATTAAATATTTTTACAAATTTCTTAGTTTGTGTCACTTATCTGGTAGTAGGTATTGGAAAGTAAATCAGTAACAAGAGGGTATTGGGAGTGAAATGAGACAATAGATCTAATGCTCAACCCCTATATATCACATATCCCTGTATTTCTGGGTATTATTGTCTTATAATGACAATTTGTTAACTCAATTTTTGTCATGTTGAATTAAATGACAATTCTGTTTCTTGAAATTGAGAAATTCCAGTTGATAAAGTTTGTACACTCAGAAGGTACCAGAATGTGCGACTTTTTTGGGGGTCATCTCTAAATTGTGTTAAATGATTGATGAACAATGAATATGTTTTCTGAATTGCCTACTTGGATGAGAGTGTATATTGGACATGGACATCAACACAATATATCATCCAAATATGTAAATATTAACAAATGGGGAAAAAACTAATTTTGGTAAGTTTAACTCAAGACAATTCAGAAAATGTATGTGAATTTATATTTAAATTTATGTTACTATAACAGTAATTACTCCTTCTGCCACCTGGGCACTGACTAGTATATAGGGCAGCACAGCTTAGCTAAAATGGCAATTTTACTAAAATTTAACTTCTGCTTCTCACGCTTCCTCTTCACTTGAAAAATAAGACAGATCTCCGAGTGATTCCATTGACACAACCACACCTTTGTGGAAGAAGTCTGAGGCGTAGACAAAGCCAGGTCCCCGTCAGATTTGTTTATAGCCTTCCTTGGCAGCCCTGCATGTCTTCCATTCCACCACACAAAAACACATAGCACCAGCCGTGCCACTAACAACCAGTATAAGTAACTGCCAATGTAATAGCACATATGTACTGTAGAAAAACGCTGCGGCTGCCGCAATGGACTGAAAATAATTAGAACAAAAAATATGATATAGTAAACAAGCAACTTATCAGTCAAGACAGAAAACAGCTCCCCTGTTATATTTGTTTATTTACATAATTCATATTTTAACAGCATTATTGATACCAGGACTGATAGTTTTCAAAAAGTATTACCATTTTCTACCAAAAATGACAAAAAGATTGACTAAAATAACAGAATTGAAATTATTGTCACAAAATGAACAAATCTGATAACTACGATATATCATGAATAACAAATTGATGTTGGACATCAGACATTCAGTCATATAACAAGCTCAATGGACAATGTTGTGTGAAACCAAGTCCTTAAAAACAAATAAGTCAGGAAATAAATCAAACTACCAGAATCTTGTTTTGGGTTACAAACACACCAGTGGAGAAAAGAAACTTAAGACTGGATCTCATGTACGGCCCCTGAAGGTCACTCATCATGGTACTTTTACAGTTGACTTGTACCTTCCAGTACTACCGGTACACCTCAATTTATGTCATGCTAAACAACATTCACTTTAATGGAAAAATAATTGTGAAATTCCCATTGATAGGAAAGTACCAGGATGTGTGACCTTTAAGGGTCGTAGGTGATGCAATATACCTATTTACTGACCTGCATGAATTTGTAGAGTGCAAATGCAGGGGCACTATCTTCTGGAAACATAAAACCCAGAATTGAATATATTTGGGTATTAAAACAGCTGTCACCAAAACCCAACATAAATGCACACAATAATGCTAAGTATTCGCTGAAAAAAAGAAGGAAAATGACTTATGAATAACAAAATATTTTTAGTCATTGATTTTTACAGATGAGTGAAACACTGACATGCTAATCTGTGCACTCACTGGGTGATAGAGGAAAATCACAGAGTTATATAACAGAGAGCATTTCACTGAGCATCTTGAAGTATGACTCTGCAATCCATGTGACTGCAACATTGCATCATGGGAAATGATTGTCTGCCAAGAAAAGACATTGTCACTAACAGTTTGGATTAAAACATTAAAAACCTGTACCTGACATTTATTTTGAAGACTTGCATGGCTGTTCAAAACTCGTCTTTTTATCAAGAATTTTGCTTAAATCTAGCCCAACTATTACTGGTGACTAATAAGGATATCTATATTTTATCTATATTGTCAGCAAAAAGATAATTTTTATACAATTTATGTTTTCAGCTTGTTCTGTTCATATCTGTGAATTCAAATTTAACAAAAATGTATAACAAAAAGAAATACTGGTACTTACTTGGGGATAATATATGCTTGCATGTGTTCTGAAGGCCCCATGGGAGTGTCAGCAGGTAGATTGAGAAATATTAAGTAAAAACACAGTGTGTGTACGAGATAGCCCATTAAAACAACAGGGTCACGCCCATGTACGACAGTACGTCTTCCAAGCAAACCAAATGCAGCACCACCTGAAACATTAATATTGTTAATGTGGAGAGCACAAACTCGTGTTTTTATCAGCTGATTGATTTCCATTCACTTTCACTCAGCAATGTAAATTACATTACGGGGTTATATTAAGCCAACCAATAACAAAATTCGGCCATATTTGACGTTTTTATGTGGAAAA